TTGCATTGATGTGCTAGTTGAAAAAAGGTTTTTTCTTTTAGCGCAAAAAACACAATTTGCTGGTGTGTTCTTGTAATAAATATGTAAGAGGGCGCTGGTAGTTCAAAGTGTGTTGTAGTCCAGAAGACAATGTGTGCATTTAAGAACATTAATGACCATTAACCATCATTATCCATTTTAATCAATTTACAATGATTTGGCAAACATTGGAATTGAACTATTATCTTAATGTGTGAGCTGCAAGCTTGCAAAAAAACAAATACTAAGTACTTTGTTCAAAGTACAGTACAGAATTATAGCAGCTTGTTCATATTATGTGCTTGGGATTTGTTTGTATCCAGAGCATCTGGCATGGTTCTGTTAAAGAGCATTTTTGTCATTGTGTCGGTATGTTATTAATTTACTTTATGCAGTTTAATATGGGTTACTGGTGCTAGTAATGAGATTTGAACCTACATCCATGTTGAGCCAGACCGTCAAGTTATGATCATTACTTCTGCTAGTGTCTATATCTCTGTTAATTGGCTTGCATCATGATACTTCTTGCTTGTTTACAGATTGCAAATATGTTTATTGAAATTTTATTTTGTGATACTTGGTGATACTTCCATTTTACAAATGAGTGCTATTCAAACTATGTTAAGTCAATTAATACTATCTTTACTGGTCTATATCTCTGCTATTGCTGCTACCTATGCTCTCAGGTAACTTTATGACTGTTGCCATCGATACTTTATAAACTTTTCTGTTCCAGGTGTTATTACTTCCTATATTTTAATAGGTGTAAACTACTGCTGCTGTTGCTTCTAAAAATTGCCAACCCCTCTTTGAATTGCAAAAGATGAAATATTTTGCCATAGTAATTTTATGACATTTAGCTTTCACTGGTATTGGAAGCTTTACTGTATATTCACTGTAATTAAAAATGTACCTTTTCCTCAGGGCGTGACCGAAAAGAACCGCCAAGATGTCTGAGTGAGTATTTATAGCTAGACTTGAAAACAGTTTTCTGTCTCAGCAGGACAGGGCGTGTGAGATTTCTGTGAATGACATGTGATTGCCTTCTGTGCCCCCCCTCCCCTAAACCTACCTTTTATCTCACAGTAAAAAGATGTCCTCGAGTCGAAAGCATAACCTGAAGGTAAAGAACTTTGCCTTTCTGCTTCTTAACAGCACGCAAAAGCATTCCTCATGAATTATTGAATGTACCTTACAGTTAAAGGCATTTTTTTCAAATGCAGTAATTTCATTTCCAAGGCCTGAGACAGTGCAGGGAAGGTTGCTTTAAAAGTAATATATTAGAAACTACCTTTCATGAAAAGTAATAAATTACTTTGTATTGCTGTTACTGTTAGAGTATAACTTTTTTCATTACTTTTAAGTACTTGTAAATTAATCTCCAATTTGGTCTATTCATGTGTATGTAACTGCCAAGGTGTGGCTTATATTACTTAAGCCTATAATTACACTTTTTGTCTGCCATTTCTCTGATCTGACAACCAGAAATGCTTGATTTTCTTTTAGGTGTGCACCAAGTGGTGCACCAAAGTGGATTACATAAATTAGAAAAAATTAGAAAAAGTTACTGAAAGCATGAATTGCTTAATGTCGTAAATGTATGAGCTATATTACCCAGATTTTATTAGCAACTAGTTAAAATACTTTGTTATTCATATAAGTAATAATACAGATTACTGTTTTAAGTAACTGAAGTAATATATAACCCGGTCACTGCTCCTGGATGTATTTTATAGTTTGAATTCAGATTTGGTGTGTTTGCCTCATCACTCATGCCCTTTGACCTGGGCTTGGGTAGCTCATGCCTTTATGTGTGCTTGGTTCCTTGCTGCAGAGCTTGATGCTCAGCACTGCCAAAAATTTACTGGCAGCTGAAGCCACTCAACGGCAAGAGGACAGGAGGAATTACATCGAGGAACATTGCCCACCCCTGTCCCTCCCACATTCTATGCAGGAACTGCAGGTAAGAAACCCTAAACTTTAGTTTAAAATATAGAAAGGGTAGTTCTCCAGAAAATGAAAAGGACTGGATGTTGGCAACAGAAATTGGGAAAGCTGACCTGCACATCTGGTATACCGAAGTGTGGTACAATCTCTCTGCTTAATATGCAGTTCAAAACTTTGAGTTACATACATACTATGCAAGGCTATACCTGACAGGTTCCAAAACGCTGTATGACAGGACATCCCCAGACTCAGTCAGATATTGTTGTGCCACATTTGCTGTCTAAGTATACACGGACAGACACACATACACAAACACACTGAACATGCATTTCCACCAGCTTAATTAGGTTCAGATTTTGCCATTGCTCTCCTCCCTTTAGGGAGAGCCGTGGGAAAATGTTACATTGTGTAAAATGAATGTATTGTTTAAAATGAATGCTTTATGGTGTAAAATGCATGTGCTATTGTCTAAATGTTGCAGAATCTGTTAATGCACATCCTTGCCTTTTTTACCACAGGAAGTGTGCAAGAAACTTCACGGTAAGATCGATAAGCTGGAGGAGGAAAAATATGACTTGGAGAACAAAGTGACCAAAGCTGACAAAGAGGTGAGCTCCTGCCGAAGTTCCTCCCCCACCTTCCGGCGTGCTTTTTATCATTCACCATTAACACCTTGCGGCTTTCCACTGTGCATAGTATCCTGCCATACCGCTGGTCCATATGATTGATACCTAACTCTGTTACCTTTCACCCAGATTGAAGACCTGAAGATCAAAATTCAGGACCTGAAGGGCAAGTTTAAGAAACCTGCGCTTAGGCGAGTGCGCATGTCTGCCGACGCCATGCTCAAAGCTCTGCTGGGCTCCAAGCACAAGGTCAACATGGACCTGAGAGCCAACCTCAAACAAGTGAAGAAGGAGGTGAAAGAGGAGGTGGGTGAAGAGCCAGCACTGCTCCACCTAACAGGTCGAGAGAGAGAATGGCAGGCTGTGACATCACAGCACGATGGCTTTAAATATCCATGTTGGATATGTTGTTTTGACCATGATAAAGTCGCACTCTGGAGTTTTTAGCTGCACTACCTGAAAGACACGTGCCCCCTGTCCAGAAAAGCTGCCCCCTCTGCTCGTTCTTAAGGCAGCTTTATACTTGTAAGACATGTCTTGTGGCAGTGTCTGACAGCCAAAACGATTTCAAAGAGACAGAGAAAAGTGTCGCCCAATGGTTTATTTTACCTGTAAAATATTTGTAACGTCCCGGACATTGTCGTTGGTTGTCCTATTATTTCATTAGCTGGATGGATGGAGAATTTGGGGGTTGTCACGGAGATAGAAAGTTAATGTAGAAGCATTCGCAAAAATTTCGGTTGGTTATGCTTGTAGTATAATCACCTTGGAGATGACAGCTTGCTCTGCAGTTATTGTCCAGCACTTACTTTAAGCATGAAAGTATCTGTATCCTTTGGCACTCTTCTTTGGACATTCGTGGTCATTGTCTTACAAGTATAAAATGCCCTTTATGCTTAATTAATCATCTCAAGCAGGTATCTGAGCAGGCATCTCACCTGGTGGTTGTTCCAGCAGACCCTGGTGTTCTCTGGAAAGGTCTTGGACTCCTTTCAAATGCTATCAAGTATTTGGACTGCAACTCCAAGTTTTAACTCTTTGGAGGCCCAGTTATTGAGAAGTGAATACACACTGAAAACATTTTAGTTTAGATAGGCACTTCCTGTGTTTCTCTGTCTCTCTGACTTTCTCTCATTCCTGTTTCTTGGTTCAACCCTCTTCCCTGTTTCTGTCTCTAATTTATGCCAGCATACTCTGTTCTCTTTTTCCTTCCATCTATCTCACTTTTCTCTTTGTGCCTCAGAAGTCTTGAGTTTCTTTTTTTTTAGTTTTTTTTTTTGGGTCAAAGTCAATCAATTTCTACATAGGAGTTTTAGTTGGTCCTCAAGTTGCTAAAATTGTTTTCCATTCTGTTCTTCTTCCAGGATAAGGAGTTGCGTGATGTCGGTGACTGGCGTAAGAACATTGAGGACAAGGCCGGCATGGACGGCAGGAAGAAGATGTTCGAGACAGAGTCTTAAGAAGGCTCTCTTTTGTTCCTAGTGTTTTCTTGTGGGCTGGCATTCCTGTAAGCTGTAGTGCGCTACCAGTTTAATTATTTCATACTGGCTGACTGCTGCTTGCATACTGAGAACTTTTTTTTTTGTCAGTTAAACTTAGCGGGAAAACTGTAGGAGGACAGTCATCAACCACCATCTTGTACTTACCTTGTACTTACCGGAATTTTAGGTTCTTGGCTAAGGTTTCATCCAACACATTCTTTTTCTTCTTTTTTGTGCATTTTTTAGAGATTGCTGAGAAGTATGTTTCATTGGCATCCTGGTCTCTATCAATAAAAGGAGAAAAGCGCAGGAAGTTTTTCTCGTCTTTTTGACCCTACTTTGCACGTTGTGTTTATTTTTCTTTAAAAGGATACAGATCAACATTCAAAATATGCAAAGTAGACAGGTGTTTTGTTGGACGTGTTATACATTGAAATCAAGAAATTGAAGGTGTACCTTTTGAGAATGAGAATTAATACCTTTGACTGTTTTTGCAATTTCTTTAATTGACTGAACCACCATGAGCATTTATGATGAAATTAACCAACATTGTGAAGCCTGAGACTGGAAGATAACCACAGAAGGATAAAACACACCCTGTAACTTGGCCAGTACTAGGGAGGCAGGCACTGTTAGTTAGTTCCACACTGATGACCTCACAGATCTGTTTTTTTTTTTTCAGTTCCCTTGTGCACCACAGGTGGGTGCTAAACCGCCCTTATATTGTTGCTATAACAGTGCAGCAGATTGTCGTATTACTCTTAAGTATGTCACAAAAAGTTACTTATTTGATTTTACCACCAGTTTCAAAATTTTTTTTTTTTTTTCAAAGATTTTTTTTGGGGATTTTCACCTTTTTTATTTGACAGTTGCAGAGTAGGGAGAGACAGGAAGGTTGGGGAGAAGAATGGGGAAGGCATGCGGCAAATGACCCGAGCCGGAATCGTACCTGGGTCTCCGCATTAAGGACACAGCCTTTATGGTGCGTGCGCTTAGACCAATGAGCCACCGGGGCGCCCCCAGTTGCAAATTTTTTTAACCACCAGTTTCCATCAACAGGAGTAGGAACTCTTCAATTCTGACTGGGGGCACCTGCCTCTTTGTCATTTTTTGGCACTTTATTTCCCTGTTTCTGTCTGAGAATGGAAAACAGGGACTGTCGCTGACTGACCCCGCTAAGGGCAGCCATGCATTAATGGAAAAAAACTGGGTTTTCTGTAGGGGCCATGTGCACGCATGTGTTGCTCACATAGACAGTGTCATTATGCTCGCCCTTAGATGTCTTGGACCCCTCGCATCATGATCAGTTTGGGTTGCTGTCCAGAATCTGTCATGTACAAACTGTAACCAGATGTGGCGCTCTTGAGCTACTATAGTCACTCGTGGCTGCCCTAAGCGGTGTCGGTCAGTGACAGTGCCTGTGTTTCATTCTCGAATAGACAGCCGACTGATTGTTGAACGATGACAGTGCAAATGACGCACCACCTCTCGGCAGCTGAGACCTGCCTGTAACATGCTCTTTTCTCTCTCCTGTGTCACAAGCCGATCCATTTTCTTGATGCAGTAGCATTTTTCGTTTTTTGTGTTTGCTTTATGTAGGCTATTGACCACACCGAAAAGAACAAGTCAAGTGTCACTGTACACATCACAAACAGTTCAATGTTTGTTATCACTGAAGTGCTTGGCGCATTCACATGGCGCACGTCAGGATTACAGTACCGAGCACTTTTCTTTATTTCCACTCATGCCTCACTGGAAAAGCAATAAAAATCAATCGATTCTTCAATTTTCCGCAAATACAGTACATACCTCACCAGTGCGTTTTTAATGGTGCTAAGTATACATTAGGAAGTGCACAGCACACCTGGGATCAAAACAACTGGACGAACACATTTTGGGTCACTAAATACCATTTTTGTGATTTTGGGGGTCAAAGTTTATATATGTATTGTAATATACAATGATGGCCAAAATTATTAGAACACCTGACAGATCTGAAAATATTGACCTTTTTTTGCCTCCTAAACATGATTTCATTTCATAATGTTCATGAAACATGCAGATGGTTGCTCTGAGCACAACAAATATCAGATGAAGTGAGTCCTACTGTTTTTATCCACTTTTAACTTTAATATTTGGTCTGTCCACCTTTTGCAGTAATTACAGCAGCACATCTCTCTGGCATAGTGTCTATATATTTCCTGAGAACTTAAGCACTAATGTTATCCCATGCCTTCTGCAACTCAAGCCAAAGGCTTTCCTTTGAATGTACAATAGACCTGTCCAGTTTATTTTCCAGCTCGCCCCAAATTTGCTCGATGGGGTTGAGGTCCGGACTTTGAGGGGGCCAGTCCATCATTTTCAGTGTTCCAGCAGATTCCTTCTGTCGCAGGTTGTTCCGGCAGTTGTTAGAAAAATGTTTAGGGTCATTGTCCTCTTGGAAAATAAATCCAGGCCCAATAAGATGATTCCCAGATGGTACTCCATGCCTCACCAGAATGTTCTGGTATACTTTCTTATCCATGATGCCATCAATTTTCACTTAGTCACCTGTTCCTGAGGCTGAAATGGCACCCCACCCCATAATACTACCCTCTCCATGTTTAACTGTTGGCAAGAGACGATAATTTTTATCTCTCCCCCTCCCTCTGTCGAGCATGCACTCTTCACTTGTTGCCAAACTGTTCAAACTTGGACTCATCAGTCCACAACACTTTATACCAATCTTCCTTTATCCATTTCTTGTGTTCTTTTGCAAATTTCAGGCGTTTCACTCTAATTTTCACTTTCAGTAATGGTTTCTTCGCTGCTATTCTGCCAACAAGTCCTTCTTCTCCCAGTTTCCAATGCACAGTTCTTGAAGACACTGTTGCACCATTAGTCATTGTGGTGTTGATCTCATCACGCAGTTCCCGTGAGGTCTTTCTTCGGTCCTTAAGACTGAGAATTTTCAGATGCTTCACTTGTCTGTCTGAAAGTTTCTTTTTTCTACCTCTCTCCTTTCGGTTCTGGTGTGAATTGGGGGCATCATGGCAGTCTAAAGTGTACTTTACAGTGCTTGGACTGCATCTCAAGTCCTTGGCTATGCGGTGGTAACTCCAGCCAGCATCAAAAAGGGCCTTTATTCAAACCCGTTGCTCACTCGTTTTCTCCTTCTTTACCATAGCCATGTTCAAAGAGCAACATGTGCTTCAAGACTACTTCTAGAGGCTTTGAATTTATACCAATTGGTGGTGTGGCCTCCGTGACAAAACCCTGATGTTACCAATCACTTAATGAGCAGGATAGGCCTTGTACATTAAAAAGAATCACACAGCTGTGTCCTAAGACTCTTGCATCACTATCAGTTTAACCATAATCACACCTGACGATTACACAAGGCTTCTTCTGTGAAAGAACATGATTGTGTGACACTGACAGTGAAATAGGCCTAGCTTGTTTTTGCAAGGAAAATGACCTAAATCTCCTTATGATGGCTCTATTCTATGGTTTATAGAGCATAATGATGACTTTGTAGATATTTCATTCGTTTTATGGGTATTTTAATGGCCAATTCAACAAAAACAACTGAAAACTCTTAAATATGCCAAGCGTACCACTGTATGTATTATATATGTTTTGAAAACTTTGACCCCCAAAATCACAAAAGTGTTATTTAGTGACTTAGGTACTTCTTGAACACTGGTCTTCATTTGTGCCTGGCATTTCCAGGTCAAGGGGCAAAAGGAGGGGAGGGTCAAATTCAAAACTACACCATCCCCCCATACTGGAATAATCCCATTAACCCTTAGGCCAGTGAGTGGTTGTTGCTGTCATCATGCCTTACATTGCTACTAAGCAACGCGAACATGATGGCTGTTTTAAAATTCCAGCAATGTTGTAAATTTCACAGACCGAACAAAGTCAGACCATCATTTCTAACCAAGTGACCAGTCTAGGAAATTAGCTTTGACTGGAAACGCGTGGACAGCATGTCAAATGTCGCATTCAGGAAGTAAAGATGTCTTTTGTGCTCATTTACCAATAAATAAACCACAAATAAATAAAACAAAAAGCTCTGCAAGTTACAGCTTAAAAGAGGCCTACACCGATTCTGGCTGTGCCAAAAAGGGGTGTAGGCAGGGTGGACAGCTGGAATATATTAGGCAGGCAAGACATCTAACAAGAGCTTGGGTGTTTATGAGCTCTTGAGGTAAGGCTTGCCAAGATGCAACTGACCCTGTCTCTCTCATTTCTAACAGACTTATATTTAGAACCTCTTCATTCCTCCTGAATCACCAAATAACTTTGCAAGGTCCTAATTCCTCTCTCTTTTCATTGCTTCCTTTTTCATGATGCAGAACATTTTAACTCGTGTGCAAAAATCATAAATACCTTGACATACCATTGGCATCCCGCTCCATGATTTTTTTGGTGCAAAGACTGGGTGCTGTGAGATAGGGGGGCTATGCAAAAACGTGCTTTACCTTCTACATGGGGAATCCAAAAAGATTTAACCCTTGGAGCGCTGAATAAATTTTCAAGGAATTAAAAATGCAGTTATCCTGAGCTGTTGAAAACCTATCATGTTGCAACTTGTTTAAAAGAGCTCACCTGCGGGAGCTCTTTTAAGCAAGTTGCCACATGATAGGTTTTCAACAGCATCTGATTTTGATATCTTACATCATAGAGCAACTATAGTTGCCCATGGCGCTGTAAGGGTTAACCCTTCTCTCGGTCAAAAGACATTTCAGTCAAATCTGGCTTAGAGGTTGAGAGACATTATTCAGAAGCTTGCTGAACTCTTTATTGTAATCACAGGCATGGTTAATACATTGTAAATACAAAAAAATGTGTGTTCAATTGTGCGCTCAATAGCACAAGACATTTAATTTTTGAGGAACTAACTAAAATTGCTTCCTTGAATTGGTCTTCAGCCTCCTCATGATCCTGTTTTACATCCGAGCCTCACTGCGTTTGTAAGTAAATTCCTCTCATCTCTTGTGGAACAGGAAAAAGATGACGTTGAGCCACAGGCACCATCTAAAGGTAAAGGGTAGTCACTCTCAGTTACTCTTCTTCAGCGAACCCTCTGGTCCCTGAAACACAAGAAATGTAATCACTCCCTCCCTCTGCCCACACACTCTAACATATTCACACAAACGCATACATTCATTCACTCTCACAGGCTCCAGCTCACGCAAATAGAAAGTTTGGAATTCATGATGTATACAGACATTGCCCAAAAAAAAAGTGAGGAATTTTCATGATGGTTATAGGTGCGATGTTATAATAAATTCTGAATTATAATCCTCATAATGTGGGGGTACAGGTGGCAGTGGATAGCACTGCCACCTCGCAGCAAGAAGGTTGCGGGTTCGAATCCAGCCTAAGGCCTATCTGTGTGGAGTTTGCATGTTCTCCCCTTGTTCACATGGGTTTCCTCCTGAGACTGTGGTTTCCTCCCACAGTCCAAAGACATGTATGTCAAGCTAATTCAGAGAGTAAATTGCCCTGAATGTGTGAGTGAATGGTGTGTGAACTGATATCGATTACATGATATTTCAAGTCACAAAAATGACGTACAGTATATATCCAGTGAGTAACTCTGATTCGTATTACTGCATTCAGTATTGAAAGGGTTAATATGAATTGCTCTCATAATGACACCAATGTGGCACGCGCACACACACACACACACACACACACACACTCCATGACTCTCCTCCATTCTGCTCCTGTAGAGCCTGTTGCTCCAGATAGCTGCCAGTATGCTGGAGACAGAGGCAGCGGAGGGTGAGGCTGAGGAAGAGGTACACTTCGGAGAGGTGTTCTGTACATTTCGGCCCAATGTGTTCTGTCAGAATTCGGACAGTGATGGTGGGTATACGGGAAATAGTTCCTATGAGGTGCACAATGTGCTATTGTGAATACCCATAAATTCGAAGCTGGCAGAATATAATTTTACCTCACATGATTCAAATACTGTGTGTTGAGCCAAAAGGAAAATACTGAGGCAATGTCCAACTATTTATG